GTGTATGACTAATGGTAACTGTTTGAGTCTGTGATTGAGGTTGGGTTATTGCAGGTCAGCTGGATGACTTAACTGGTTGTGGCTCTATCACTTCCTCCTGACTCTGGAGAACCATAGAACCTTCTAGAAGTCAGTAAGCAGGAAAGGGTGGAGACCTAATCTGCATATTTATAGGAGTTTTGCCGATTCCAGGTTTGGAGGCCCTAGTAGAGTGGTAGAATGGCCCATAAATATAGGAAAATCAAGCAGACAGAGTGGGGTGGAAGATGGAGTGCTGAGAAGATTGTCAGTGCCTGGGAGGGGTCCCCTAGGTCTAGGGGGGACCAACCTCCAGGCTGCGCTCGGGCTGGCTAGTAAAAATACATTCAGCAGCGCAGCATGAATGGGATTGAGACTTGGAGCAGTGGGAGCAAAGAGGACAGAGTGAGTACATCAGCACACCCTGGACAGCACTGTGCTCAATCCTTTATCCTTGTCCCGGGATATCTTCAGAGCAGCCAGGAGGCCTGGTAGTGTCTGCAGGCTGTGGAGATGGGAGTGGTTCTACAGGGGGCGGAGAGGAGACATCTCTGCATGTAGTTAGAAGAAGCTAAGCTGATTTTTACGGGCTGCTAGTTCCTTGCCGGTAAAGGGCTGCAGCGACTGACGGCTTTCAAGGAAAAGAGCAGTCCAGGATCTGTTTTTTGCATAGGAAGTAAGTTGTTCCCCCTTCATTGATTCAAGCCAACTTGAGCATCCCATAATCCCTATTTCTCTATCCAAGTTATTTCCCATAATAAAATAACAAAACCAAGCTCACAGATTGTTCAATGGCTATGGATAAAAGTGTGAAAAATACCTTTTGCTTGGCTGCATAAGGTTTAGGGGTACCCACAACACAGCAGCCCTCTAAAGGGTAGCGCTACATGGTGATCAGACCTAAATTGCTAATTACAAACTTATGAGCTGCCCTGAGAAAGTTGGACTCTATGCAAGACACTAAATACATAGATGAAGGTATCCCCCCTTCTCCCGAGTCACCCCTTGTCCCTGCTTCCAATCCACCTTTGAGCACAGTCTCTTATTCCTGCCCCCTACTCTCCTCCCCATAGACCCCAAGCAACAACATAGCCCCCCAGCGGCAACAGACCCCTCCCCCCGACAACAACAGACACCCACCAGCAACAGTAAATCCCCAGCAGTCAGAATTAATAGACTCTCCAGCAACCAGCAACAGTAGATCCCCTCAATACCAACGAACCACCCAGCAACAATAGATCCACTATCAACAACAATAGGCTCAACCAGCAACAGTAGACCCCTACAGACACAAAAGAAGCTCCTTCAAGAACATAAGCCCCCCTCCCAGCAACTACAGGTGCCAGAACTGCGTACCACCGTGTTTTCGCTGAAAAAAAAGCCCTGCATAGATAAAACATATACATGGGAGCCATTTTACCTCCCGAAGTATTTGTATTTCTGTCCATCCAGTCCTGATTTTGACACAGCACAGCCCTTTTTTTTTAAGCAGGGCAGGAGACTTGATTTTAATCTGCGGCAGTTAAGTAACACTTCTAGATCCTGTTCCTCCTCAAGCCTGTGACAGAGAAAAGAGAAGCAGCAGACTGATGAGCTGATCTCTCTGTCACTCTGCTCTCTCCTCCTATCAGCAAGTCCCTTCCTAGAGCTCTGCAGCTCAGTAAATTGGCTTCTGGTGCCGCTTCTCAATCAGCCAGAGGTCTGCTGTTCAGGGACTTCAAGAGACTGATACAGAGGCAAATTCAGGTACGTATACAGCTTGCATTGAGAAAAAAAATGTATAAATCATTAATGAATACAGAGCTGAGTGATTTTGCCTTCAGCTTTAAAGGATGCCAAATACAATCTTTTTACTATTTTTGTCATGATTGAACTGCATATTTGTTTTTTTTTTCAGCAAAGAAAATAGTGTTGTACACAGCAATGCAAGAAACCAACTGGAAGTCAGTTGCTGTAATTCACTTAAGGCTACATTCTATTTAGGAAGGAATATATTGGTCATATCACCCACTGTTTTCATAAAATTTTCATAACTAAATCTAGAAGCGCTGCCAAGGGTAGCCACTGCAAAGCCAGGCAAGGCATTATCCCTCTTCAACCTGCTGGCTCTTCATTGTTTATAGGCAAACTAAAAAGGTATTATGCGCAACGGGGTGTATTTTTTTTATTCTGCTAGTCACTCTGTGAAATGGCATATACATTTGTTCTGCGCAAATACTGGCAAAATAAAATGTTACTATTATAGTTTCTCTCCAAATCTGATGTTTTTCATTGATAAGAATAGCGTGAAGCAGGAAAAAAAACACATTATGGCCACTAGATGGAGCTGATGCTGATAGAAAATAAATATTTAGTATGATCATCAGCTCCATCTAGTGACCACAATGTGGTATTCTCCTGATGCACGCAAATATGGAGAACATCTGACTTAGGGAGAAAATAGCCTAGTAACATTTAAAGTGTTTCTAAGCCCACAACAGTAACATCAGTCTAAAACTATGTAGCTTCCAATTGAAGAAATAAATAAAAAATCTTTAGTGCCAGAAATAATACTTCCACCATCCACCAGTGAAAAAACCAACATCCACCGCACTCACCAGATATTGGTGATTATTGCGCCTTCTAGGATTATTATGGGCTCCTAAACCCCCTTTAAGACCTCCAGGATTCCTTTCCACCACAAGGTATAAGATGTTCCTCCTCTCGCTCCTGCCTTTTCCTCTCTCCAACTGCACAGCAGTGCAGGGAAAAGAAATACCAATAGTGTAATACTGCTAATAAACTGAGTTATATCAAAAAACCGTTTGCCAGACCGCTCACATTTCTCATGATCATAAACAGCGTTTATTGCTTTTGCCACAGAATCACAGGTTCCACATAGTTTGAAGCTGAGACCTCACAGCCTGATCCAACCTACTTTCTGTGTGGTTTACATAGTCTGGCTGAAAAAAACACAAAAGTCCATCCAGTTAAAAAAAAAAGTTATAATCCTACACCCACAGTTGATCCAGAGGAAGTTAAAAAAAAAACACAGCAAAGCATGATCCAATTTGCTCCTGCAGGGGAAAAAATTCCTTCCTGATCCCCCAAGAGGTAATCGAATATTCCCTGGATCAACTTTACCTATAAATGTTAGTAACCAGTTATATTCTGTGTATATAAGAAACAATCCAGGACTTTTTTAAAGCAATCCACTGAGCTGGCCAGAACCAACTCTTGAGGGGAGTCTATTCCACATTTTCACAGCTGTTACTGTGAAGAAACCATTCTGTTTTTGGATATTACATTTTTTTTTCCTCCAGACATAAAGAGTGCCCCCTTGTCCTCTGTGATGACCTCAGGGTGAATAACTTTACACCAAGTTCACTATATGAACCACTGATGTATTTATACATGGAGATCATATCCCCCCTTATGTATTATACATGGAGATCATATCCCTCCTTATGTATTATACATGGAGATCATATCCCTCCTTATGTATTATACATGGAGATCATATCCCTCCTTATGTATTATACATGGAGATCATATCCCTCCTTATGTATTATACATGGAGATCATATCCCCCCCTTATGTATTATACATGGTGATCATATCCCCCTTATGTATTATACATGGAGATCATATCCCCCTTATGTATTATACATGGAGATCATATCCCCCCCTTATGTATTATACATGGAGATCATATCCCCCCTTATGTATTATACATGTTGATCATATCCCCCCTTATGTATTATACATAGAGATCATATCCCCCCCTTATGTATTATACATGGAGATCATATCCCCCCTTATGTATTATACATGTTGATCATATCCCCCCTTATGTATTATACATGGAGATCATATCCCCCCCTATGTATTATACATGGAGATCATATCCCCCTTATGTGTTATACATGGCCATCATATCCCCCCTTATGTATTATACATGGTTATCATATCCCCCCTTATGTATTATACATGGAGATCATATCCCCCCTTATGTATTATACATGGAGATCATATCCCCCTTATGTATTATACATGGTGATCATATCCCCCCTTATGTATTATACATGGAGATCATATCCCCCCTTATGTATTATACATGGAGATCATATCCCCCTTATGTATTATACATGGAGATCATATCCCCCCCTTATGTATTATACATGGAGATCATATCCCCCTTATGTGTTATACATGGAGATCATATCCCCCCTTATGTATTATACATGGAGATCATATCCCCTCCTTATGTATTATACATGGAGATCATATCCCCCCTTATGTATTATACATGGAGATCATATCCCCCTTATGTATTATACATGGAGATCATATCCCCCCCTTATGTATTATACATGGAGATCATATTCCCCCTTATGTATTATACATGGAGATCATATTCCCCCTTATGTATTATACATGGAGATCATATCCCCCCTTATGTATTATACATGGAGATCATATTCCCCCTTATGTATTATACATGGAGATCATATCCCCTCTTATGTATTATACATGGAGATCATATCCCCCCTTATGTATTATACATGGAGATCATATCCTCGCGGTTCTCTCATTCTGTCCTCCCATTCTCACCGCACATGCGCAGCTCCAGGAGCACGCAGCGCGGCGATCAGTGGTGCGCTGTGTCCCTTGGAAAGAGCCGAAGATGTCAGCTCAATCATGTGATCTGCTGTGTCCAATCACAGCTGATCGCATGTAAATAGGGAAATGCCGGTTATCGGCATTTCTCTCCTCACGAGCTGTCACGCTGACAGCTCGAGAGGAGAGCCGGTAATCAGCATTCCTCAGAGGGGACATGTGCACTGATCATCAGGGCACTGATGACCGGTGTGCCCTGATGATCAGTGTAGCCCCAGCAATGCCACCTGTCAGTGCCCATCAATGCCAGCTCTCAGTGCTCATCCATGCCACCTGCCAGTGCCCATCAGTGCCACATCAATGCCACATATCAGTGCCCATCTGAGCTGCTTTTCAGTGTCACACATCAATGCCAGTCAGTGCCACCTATCAGTGCTGCCAATCAGTGCCGCCTATCAGTGTTAGTCAGTGCCGCTTATCAGTGTGCATCAGTGTCGCCTATAAGTGCCCGTCAGTGTCGCCTAACAGTGCCAGCCAGTGCCACCTAACAGTGTCAGTCGGTGCCATGTATCAGTGCCAGTCAGTGCCGCCTATCAGTGCCATATATTAGTGCTGCCTTTCAGTGCCCAGTGATGCCTGTCAATGCCACCTACCAGTGCCTCCTCATCATCAGTGCCCATCAGTGCCACCTATCAGTGTCCATCAGTGCACCCTATCAGTGCCCATCACTGCAGCCTCATTAGCGCACATCAGTGAAGGAGAAAAATCACTTATTTACAAAATTTTATAACAAAAAATAAGAAAAAATTTTTTTTTTCAATTTTCAGTGGTTTTTGGTTTGTTTAAGAAAAAATAAAAAAACCAGAGGTGATTAAATACCACCAAAAGAAAGCTCTATCTGTCACAAAAAAATGATAAAAATGTCATATGGGTACAGTGTTGCATGACCGCACAATTGTCATTCAAAGTGTGACAGCGCTGAAAGCTGGAAATTGGCCTGGGCAGGAAGGGGGTATAAGTGCCCTGTAGTGGATAAAAGTGTTTAGTCTTGACCTCATATTATATGGTTTTGGAAAATCTAATGAAAAATTGTATAATGTATGGCCAGCCTAAGACAACACATCATGTGAGCCAGTCATTGTTTCACATGAATTTGTGCTAGTTAGCTCCACTTTGGGATCCAGTGCCATCATTTTTCCTTCTTAGGAATAAATGCATGACAGAGGCTCTAGTCTAACCCTACTATGCTAAACAAAAAAACAAACAAATAGTTTTGTCTAGAGTTAAAACGCACATCAGCATTCACATTTGCTCAGTGTTTGGCATCTCTACAGAATTTTTCAAATGAATATTTACAAAATAAAATTACACTGACATTACGGCAAAGTCAAAGTTGGGAATCTAGCAACGTTATTAAAACTAGCAGCAGGTAAAGAGGAGAGAAGACATGATGTATTCTGTCCATATTCCTGTTTAATACCAATATATAAATTAACAATGACTGTATGCAAACATTAATTGCTTCTTTTGAAGACAATTCCCCGAGACATCATTAATTTATGTGAACTAGGAGCAGCTAATCTTGGCGGTATGAAGCCAGAGTAGACATGAGCTATTAGTGATATGGGTGCTATGCATTTCAAACACAGTGTGCCATTCTGCATTCATATATCTAGGGATTCTTGTTTTGTGGTCGGGAGTTATTCTTCATATATATGCACGCTAAAGATTGCAGAGCTGTCTATCCTGCTGTTACATATTTATTTTGTTTAAAGTATTTGAAATTAAAGACAGCCAACAATTTTGAAATCCTGGCTTTTTCTTGCAGTATTGCGACGAATAACAGGTTGGAGCAGAATTCAGTCCTCCACCTTTGAGGCTATCTGGTTTTCTAGCAAGGTGCTCTACATCCACTGTAGGGTTTAAAGTGTATTTCCACGTTTGCAGTCAAATTTGAGAAAACTCCACTATACAGTGTAGGAAATAAGTATTTGATCCCCTGCTGATTTTGAATGTTTGCCCACTCACAAAGAAATGATCAGTCTACAAATCGAATGGTAGGTGTATTGTAACACTGAGACAGAAAAGCAACAAAAAATTCAAAAGAAATGCATGTCTAACAAATTATGAACTGATTTGCATGTTCATGAAGGAAATAAATATTTGATTCCCTATCATTCAGCAGGATTTCTGGCTACCAGGTGTCTTACATACAAGTAACAAGCTGAGATTAGAAGCAGTCTCTTAACCTCCCTAGCGGTCTGATTATGTCTATATTTCTGTGCTCAAAGCGGTACATTTTTTTATGTATATGTAATATGTATTTTTTTTATTGTAGCCCTGTAATTTTTAGGAAAAACTCACTGAAATCTGTCTGAACAAGAGTCTAATAAACATCCCGGGTATGTTAACATTTGAAACACGAAATCATAAATTATAATTTAATAAATACTCATAAAAAATAATAATATAATAATAATAAATTTAATTCAATAATATAATCAAACCAAAAACACTGAAATCTGAAATAGAGCGCCAAGTTCGCACATCACTGAGCAAAGTCACAAAATCGTTTTCAGTGTCTGATGACAATTTCCCCACGAATCATTATCACTCAATTTTGCAAGTAGTTCTAATTTACTATCGCTGTTCTCTAGCTGGTCTAAAACCGCTTTTGACATAAAGGGACGCTTTTTTGGATGCCATGGACATTTCTCAGTTTCCAGGCAGAAAAAAACAGTAAAAAGGTAGGCAGGGCACAGGACAAAGCACTCGGGACAAAATGTATGTGAAATGGTTTGATACAGTAATGTTTTACTATGAGATTTTAGTGCATTGAGTGAATGTCACTTTTAAAAATTTTTGAATTTCCCGCTGTTTCCATCCCCCGTACGCCCCGACGCTCGCAGGGAACAGAACCCATCGGCCGGAGGAGATGGCCGGGGACGCTGCAGAGGGGACATCGCTGGAGCGCAGGACAAGGTAAGTGCTGGAGGAAATCCCTGAGCAACACTGCAGTGTAATCCCGAGTGTAGCTCAGGGTTACCGCTTTTGGTACTGAAAGTTAACCCTGAGCTACACTTGGGAATACAGCCAGGGAGGTTAAAGGGAGTGCTGCTAATCTCATTTTGTTACCTGTATAAAAGACACCTGTCCACAGGAGCAATCAAACAATCAGATTCCAAACTCTCCACCATGGCAAAGACCAAAGAGCTGTCCAACGATGTCAGGGACAAGATTGTAGACCTACACAAGGCTGGACTGGGCTACCAAACTATCGCCAAGCAGCTTGGTGAGAAGGTGGCAACAGTTGGTGCAATCATTGGCAAATGTAAGAAACACAAAAAACAACTGTCAGTCTCCCTAGGTCTGGTGCACCATACAAGATCTCACCTCGTGGAGTGTCAATGATCATGAGAACAGTGAGGAATCATCCCAGAACTACACGTGAGGATCTTGTCATTGATCTCCAGGCAGCTGGGACCACAGTCACAAAGAAAACAATTGGTAACACACTACGACACATGTCCAGGCCTGTCTGAAGTTTGCCACTGAACATCTGAATGATGCAGAGGAGGACTGGTTGAAAGTGTTGTGATCAAAATCGAGCTCTTTGGCATCAATTCACTCGCCGTGTTTGGAGGAGGAGGAGGAATGCTGTCTATGACCCCAAGAACACCATCCCAACTGTCAAACATGGTGGTGGAAATATTCTGCTTTGGGGGTGTTTTTCTGCTAAGGGGACAGGACAACTGCACCACATCAAAGGGACGATGGATAGGGCAATGTACCATCAAATCTTGGGTGAGAACCTTCTTTCCTCAGCCAGGGCATTGAAAATGGGTCGTGGATGGGTGTTCCAGCATGACAATGACCCAAAACACAGGGCCAAGGCAACAAAGGAGTGGCTCAAGAAGAAGCACATTAAGGTCCTGGAGTGGCCTAGCCAGTCTCCAGACTTTAATCCAATTGAAAATCTGTGGAGGGAGCTGAAAGTTCGAGTTGCTAAACGTCAGCCACCAAACCTTAAGGACTTGGAGAGGATCTGCCAAGAGGAGTGGGCCAAAATCCCTCCTGAGATGTGTGCAAATCTGGTGGCCAACTACAGGAAACGTCTGACCTCTGTGATTGCCAACAAGGGATTTGCCACCAAGTACTAAGTCATGTTTTGTGAAGGGGATCAAATACTTATTTCCCTCATGAACATGCAAATCAGTGCATAATTTGTTAGACATGCATTTCTTTTGAATGTTTTGTTGCTATTCTGTCTCTCAGTATTACAATACACCGAACATTCGATTTTTAGACTGATAATTTCTTTGTGAGTGGGCAATCATTCAAAATCAGCAGGGGATCAAATACTTATTTCCTTCACTGTATGTTTGTTTATATGTTCCCATTCACACAGCGGATACTTTCACCGGCCACTTTATCAGGTACATCTGTTCAAGTGCTTGGTAGGACAAATTGCAAATCAGCCAATCACATGGCAGCAACTCATTGCATTTAGGCATCTAGATGTGGTGAAGACAACTTGATGAATTTCAAACCGAGCATCAGAATGGGGGAGAAAGGGGATTTAAAGTGTTTCTAAACCCAGGACCCTGCATTCACTATATCTATAATTTTGGAAACAGCCAAAAGTTGCTGGGTGCTAAGACAGGGGAATAAGGTGGTTGGTCAAGTTTCAGAATGGATTTCTGGGCCAGGAACTTGAGAACACTTATCGCATCATGTGCAGGAGCATTGTCAAGGTGGAGAATCCACTTGTCAGGCCAAAGTTGCAAACAGATTCCCATTACATTTTCCACATTGGCATCTGTCCTCTGCATTTTTGGCTGCCCACTTCTTGCATCATTGTGGACTTCTTCCTGCCCCTCCTTATACCGCCTATGCCATTCAAAAACACTTGATTTCTTCATGGAATGTTCACCATAAGCTTGTTGTAACAGAACTAAGATTTCCCCTGTGCTTTTGCCAATTTTCACACAAAATTTGATATTAATCCGCTGCTCCAGATTCCTGTCTCACATTTTTAGCAAACAGTGCAACACACTGAGACTGAGACAACTTGTACATAACCCAGGCAAGTGCAAGTTAGAATGTGCCAGAACATGCTTGAGTGCGAATGGCTGTATGACTCACCACCATTGGACATTTCCATGAATTAAATTGTCACACCTTGTTTGTATATAAATATATATACAGTATATACATACATGTATAAATACATCAGTGATTCATATAGTGAACTCGGTGTAGAGTTATTCACCCTGAGGTCATCACAGAGGACAAGGGGGCACTCTTTACTTCTGGAGGAATCTCCAAATACGGAGTGGTGAAAATGTGGAATAGACTCCCTCAAGAGTTGGTTCTGGCCAGCTCAGTGGATTGCTTTACAAAAGGCCTGGATTCTTTCCTAGATACAAATAAATAACTGGATACTAACATTTATAGGTAAGGCTGGTCCAAGGAATATCCAATTGCTTCTCAGAGGATCAGGAAGGAAATTTCTTCCCCTGCAGGAGCAAATTGGATCATGCTTTGCTAGGGTTTTTTTTTTGCCTTCCTCTGGATCAACTGTGGGTATAGGATTATAACTTTTTATTATGGTTGAACTATATGTGGCAGAAGTTTGATGCTGTTGCCAGTTACAGCTGTATCAAATAAGGACAGGTGTACTTTAAATTACTTTTTAAAAAGGATTT